CAATGCTTCAAATTATCTCTTTAAAAGTTTCTCATAATCTTAGAAGTGTGTCTGTAAATCTTTCCCATCTTCTTTACATTAATAATAACATCCTTTTTTATAGCCTCATTTGTTGTAGTGGTAAATTGTTGGTGATCCACAGCTTGTAAGAACAGTGAATACCAGGACCAGCATTCTTTTATCTTTAGACTTTTTGAAAGGATCGAGCACTATACAGTGAATAAACGTCAGAGTCATTGTGAAGCTAGTCCTGAAAATATATAAAACGTAATGAAAAAGGATGTTATAACCAAACAGGAATATATTTGTTTTAATTTGCTCTGTCCTAAATGGAAGGGGATTAGTTCATGTTCAATATTTGTAATTTCTATACACAGCTCGGCAGAACCAACGTAATCGAGCTGCAACTCGAAGCAAAGTTAAGAATACACGGAACACCATGAAAAGTGGTCTTAGCCAAGGACAAAGTAGTCAGGATGCCACTCAACCCTTCAGTCAAGCGGTCCCTCTTACTCAAGGAATGTCACAGGTGAGTTTAAAATTTATGTTGTATTATAAATAGGAATTGAATTTTAAAATGTTGGGCACCAGTGTGGGATGAGAATGTTCAAGACGGCTCTGAACTGAATCTCCGTCGCTTCCAAATACATGGCTGTGTTTTTGATTGTTGGTAATTTATGTCTCTTCTAACCTCAAAATTTTCACTGAACATTATTTCTTCCTTTCATTTTACTGAGGTTTAGTGATAGTTTCTTATTTTGTTTATGTTAAAAATATATTATAGTAAAATTTTGCCTATTTGTACTTATTGAATTAAAATTCAATAATAATAATAATAATTACTTAATTAAATATTACAATTGATGGACCGGAAGTTTATGGTGGCATGGTTCCGTTGATTCCTTTTATGATAATTATTTCTCAGAAAATTCTCTTAAAAGGGGAAGAGGTTTATAAACCAGTATGAGCGCTGGAGCACTATTGAAGTCGTGAACCAGGTTGCGAGAGAGGGAGGGCCCTCCCCAACACAGCACTTTGGATACGTTGGGTAGCAACGAGAGCAGGAAGCTCTAGGATGTCAGTGCAGTGCTTCTGAACATTTTTTTTTTAAAGATTGCAAATACTAAATAGAGACATAATTAAGGATATGAATTGATTTAATTCTTCCATTTAGTATATCATGACAAAATATACTTGTTCAAACATTGGATCGTCAAGATGTCAACCTTTCTTTGTCTCAAATACATAAGTAAGATGGTGCTAATAACTATAAAGCAAGGCAGATTGTTGGTTCTGGCAACTTCCATTTGAAGTGTTGAGAAAGACCAAAGCCACAAGAAACAAATTTGCAGGCGAGCAAAAAAGAAGTTTACAGGTGTTTCAGCATGCATTAGGGTGTGGAGAAGAACTATTGGTATATGTAGTTTCTGATTTAATTATGTGAAAAATCTATCTTTTTCAAAAAATGTGGTTGGGGCCTATAGCTTTATTTATTTGTAAATAATCATGCAGCAGTAGTACTGTTTATACATCTGCTGTGCTAAATATATTTGCAAATATATAAGTTGCATGTGTATCACTTTAAACATAGATTATTCAAAGTGTTTGTATAAACAATTTAGTAGATACCTCAGTGCAAATATCAACTTTTGAAGTCATTTTATTGTACTGTATTTCTCAGAGGATACCCTTTATTAGGGAAACTGTTTCTATTCATCCTCAACTCTACTGAACAATCATATTTTTCTGGAGTGTCTTGTCTCTGGGTATCTTCAGTTTCATTTCACATCCTCGTAAGTGTAGATTTTTTGGTTAATGAAACAGGTCAGAGAGACCTAAAAAGTTGTGGTGCCCCATATGGTGGTATTTGTTTCTTTCTAGTCACCATGTTGCGTCTTGTTACTTTCTTGCATATTACTTATATTTATTGCATATTACTTGTATTTATTATAGAGAAAGCATTGTAACCCTGCCGCAAAAAGCAGCAATGTTTTGACAAATGAACAGAGTTTTGTAGGTCCCTGATACCAAAGAGAGGATAATTCTTGTTCCTAAATGTAGTAAATGACTTCTTCGAACACTTGTGTTCAGAATCCATTTTTGGATGGGAGGGCGAGGTATTTGATACTGAAAAAATGATTTATGGTAAAATGTGTCAACCGCAGCCCCTTGAATTTGAAATAAATGTTTCGATTTTGGGGAGTACTTTACATGAAGCTTCAACAATATTTTCAAAATTTTTTTAAAAATTACTCCAAATTTTTTTAATCTTTTTTAATCTCAGATAGGGATTGCAGAAATATTGCATGTTCAATTTTTGTTAAATTCTGTAAAGATTAAAAATTAAATCTAAATGAGGTTGTTTATAATTTGTTCAAAATGTGAATATTTATAATGTAATTTTGCATGAAAGCAATTTTTTTTTTTCCTTTTCTTTTTCAAAAATGTCAAATTTTTTCTTTGGATAGAGAAAATAGTGTTTAAAAAATTGCACAGGTCTCATTTGTCTTGAACTCTGAGAATTTTTGAGATTTTCAATATTTACAAATAATGTAAGAATGAGTCTGCTGTTGTAGCTCTACTAGTTAATGGATGATGACAGAGTTTCTGAAATTCATGTTACTAGCTCAGGATGTTGAGCTTCCAGTTTTGTTATTATATGTTTGGTAAACTTTTGACATCATGTGGATTCCAAAAACTCAATCAAAAGCCCAACAATGCCAATCTGTATGATTTTTTTTTTTGTGGAAATGTCAGAATTATTTAGTGTTTGGAAAGATTTCTGAATAAGTGAGATATTATTTCCAGGACTTTTTTGTATAACATAATCTCGGTGCTTGTCAGATGTTCAAAATTTCACATGTGTCTCACTTGTTTTGAGTCAGCACTTGCAAAATCATCACTGAGAGTTCACAAGAGTCTTGGACGGGTGTAATAAATGAGATCACTAGTCTTTGGTATTTTCAAATTTAGCATGCAGATGAATGTTTTGTTTTAAACTCCAAAGTTGAAAGTTGTATTTTATATGAAGGATTTAAATACTCTAAAAACAGATTAATTTTATTGTCCTCGTTTAAGGTAAAAATACACTGTATAATTGTTTAAATAGGTAAAACATCAATAGAACACTCGATCGCAAAAATTTTGCTTTTCTTCATGTTGTATTATCATAGTAACTAATGAAACGTGGATTAAGAGGGTATTATTGTACAAGTTTTCTTATTACCACATGTGCAATTGTACCCCTTTATTCACGTCTTACATTCAATTTATTTTTTGTTTTCATTTATGAATAATTTAATTTTGAGAAATTCAAGCACATCTTTAGCATTTAGGACTTACGTTTTTTGAAAATAGTATTTTTTTTGAAAAAGATCAATTTTAGTGTGTTTTGCATTGTGTACATTTGATCAGCATAGTGACATAGAGGATATAGAGATGAGTGCAAATGAAAGACAGTGAACGGGATTACTTCCCACCAAAAGTGAACGCAGTTATGCAAGAGAATACATATAGGCGTTGTGGTGCGTTATCGTTGGCATTTTTCATGAAATAATTATAGACGTCTATAATTATTTCAAGAGAATACATGTTTAAATATTGGAAAGTAAAAGAAACTAGTCACTTCTGACACAGCAGTTTTACTGGTGTCCTTTTTAGAAAGGGTAAATACAACTGAAGTATTTATTTTTATTATTTATAACATGCTAAGACCAAATGTTTTACATGAAAAACATTTTATGTATTCATGGTAAATATTTTATATTGCCCCATTAGTGTCAAACCAATGTTTACTTCACCAGTTTTGTTTTATTTATTATTTATATATAGTTGATGTAGGTACTTTGTGGTGTACTTTTTGTTCATGTTTCATGACCTACTGGAATTACCTGGGCCATGTGTTGTAGTGACTTAATGTAACAGTTTTGATCCTTTTTCTGAATTCAGATTGATAGATATAGAGTTTTAATTACACGTGTGCAATTAATATAGTGATAATCAACTATTTTTCATGGAATTAATGAGTGTAATTAATTCCTGAGTGAAAAAAATGAGTATAAAATATTGAAAGGAACTCAAATAAAAAATGCTTAAAAAGCTAACACTTATTAGTATATTTACGCACTTATTGTACTCTAAATAATGTTTTACCCTCTAAATGCTTTTACTTCAAATTTGCGACTGGTATGTTTTTTTATGCTGGTATTAATTGTACAGTAGACTGCATTAATTCCTTTTTTCTCTTCTGATGCAAGTTGAAGTCCAGGGTGATCCAAAATGTTTATTTAAGCCAGATTTAATGATTCTTTAAGGATTCTCAAATGAACGTTGTAACCCAGTTTTCAGCTTCAGTCTAATTTTTTGTACAGTATCATTCTACTCTCTTCTACACTGTTTTAATTAAACTGTGTAACCTTTTTTTGGCTTTTAAAGTTGTGTGGACATTGATCGTGAAAAATCCACTTTTATACTCTTCATAAGTATGGTACCTGGTTATCATAATTTATTAATTCTCTGCATACGAAGGGGGGTACATGTGTCCCCCAATGTCATTTCGTTCTTGTCATACACATTGTGCTTATTATTGTGATGTTGAAATATCTTCACATTGCCTGAAATACTTCAGTTGACAATGACATATTAAAGACTGTAATGGTTTTAAGGTGTTTAATGTGAAGTAGCTAAAAGCAAGCACCGGATTCTGCATCACCAATTTTTATTTCTATGAATAATTTTGAACATTATACTTTGTGGATTAGCATGCTAATCTTTTTATTCAAATGAAAGTGGAATAATTGAAACGCCTGCAAGTTTCCAGTTATGCATTTAAATCATCACGACACTATCTGTACAAGTGAATGAGCATTTCTAGTTCTTGTATTCTGTATTATAAAGGACAATGTGGAGGTAACTTATAGCAGATAGAATGTTGTAAAAAGAGAAAATTTATGTTGGACCTAAGGGCAAGAACTTATCGAAACTTAGGTTGAAGTGAGACTGAAAAAAACTAAGAATTGACTGCAAACACAATGCAGATTGCAATGAAATGTTTGCTTGGAGAAGGAGTGCAAGCTCTGCCCTTCGTGAATGTTCGTCATCAATCTTAAGTTGGAAGATTCATTCTATGCATGAGAAACAGAAATGAGTAGGACAAGATGTTTTTTAAGTGTTCGAGTTAGTTATATCCTATTTCAAAGCAATCTTGCATAAAATTCGAATGGGGTACACGTGTAGTTGGAGTCTGCACAATTGGTATTCGGCGATACATTAAGAATTTGGTATGCAGGGGTTAAGTGTATTCAACCTTCATTTTGAAAGTCTTGTCATCAACAACATCAATAACACCCACAGTTTAAGAATTACCCTTCTACTGGCTAGAATACTTCTAGAACTACAGTGGTCTATAGTATGAATCACAACGTGACTTTAAACCACTTAAGAATTTACTAACATTAACCCGTAACTAGACATGAATTTATATTAAGCAAGTACAACCGTGGAGTCAAACTGACTCTGCATACTTACTTGAGGATTTATGTCTTTCCAATTTACTTTTTCAAAATATTGTTTGTGTGCATTGTGATATTACTTTTATAACAACTATAAAAATGAGCAAGCAAGACGTGAGAGCGAAGACACTACCTGTTGGCGATTCCCTGACTTGACTATGACTGACGTGACTTGACAATACAGCGGCCCCTAGAGGGCGCTTATTACCGGAGGATTACTCCAGTGCGTTCAACACTCCTAACAGAGTTTGGAAATGTGTTCCGAAATAGACAGAACAAATTAAGAAAGAAAGGGGGGGAAAAGATTTTTAGATAATACTAATAATTATTAATTACATGCTTTTTATTTGCATCTCTAGTTGAGGTATTAAGATTAAATATTTTATGCGAAAATGACAATTAAACATATTTAACAATATTTTATAAATACTTTTCATCATTTATTGGTTATACGATTGGTATGCATTGTTGATGAACATTGTGCACACAGTGCATGTTTACAAGAGCAACAGATAGTATTTGTTTTCATCTTCAATTTCTTAGGAGAAATAGAGGAGTATTTTCTTGCTGATAATTTTCTGTGAACTTTTGCTGTTTCCTTCTTTTCTACATAATATTTTCTTCATTGACTTTCTAATGTGTTGTCAAAGATGTCATAGAATCTCCTTTTTAATTCCTTGGAAACTAGTTTGGTAGCTAAACTTTTTATAAAATTCAGCTTTGTTACCGATTCCATTAGTGCTACACAAGAAAAATATGAAGATAATATCAATGATAATGCTCGGAAAATAAAAATAAAGTAATACAATAAAACTCGTATACCATAAAAATATTACATACATGTCTGCCTTTGGTAGTGTCAATAAGGTGGTTGTTGTTTTTTGTTGTTTTTTTTGTCACTATTTTACAGTTAGTCTGACTTGGTGACATGCAAAGCAACTTTTAACAGGAAATAAATTGATAAATAAATATGTATAAAATTGACAATCTGCAAACGCAACAATGAAGGCTTAGTTCGAAGGTACTGAAGCGCTGATGGAAATAGCAGAAGCGTCAAAATAAGAAAATGAAAATATAGAAGAGAGCAGAGTCAGTTTTGACTTCGCCTGTGGTTACAGATTAAAACAATCTGCCAATACTATTGTGGTACTTTTATTACACCTACATGACAAATGACTCTTAGACCACTTTAGAATGTATATATGCTCACATGTTCAGATCAAATTTACCATGACCTGGATTTTAACCACAATTTTTCATAAGCCACTTTAATTCCAGGCTAGTGCTGTATTCTCTGAAGGTGTGAAGGGCTCATGCTCTTTCCCTTTTCCTTTGTTTTCTCTCTGGCTAAAGAATGAAATAGACATGTCTAAAATCCATATTTTAATTATGAATGACAATTACTACGCTAAGTATGCAGTGCAGAACTCGGATTTAATAAAATGCACAATGTGCCCAAAAATTGCCTGACCTGAAAGACAATCAATTTGAAAGAAAGTTATATTTTAAACTAGTAGTACTACAATAGCATACTTTTTTCTGACATTATTTTTAACTCTTGTTCAAATTTCTTGACAGTATAATGAAAATAATGATACCATTCTTTAAAGTGTCCCCTGTTCTATCCACAGAAAAAATGTGGATTGTGAAGTGGTTAGTTGAGATGCTTGCATTGACCACAGACAGTTGTCAATCAGTTTTTCGGTATCCAGAACCCACAAACATGGATTGTGATTACACAACATTTTAGAGGAAATGATTTTCCACGAATAGGAACAAGTTTTTTCATATCTAAGGCCACGCAATAAGATTTTTTCAGTTGAAAAATCACCATTTTCTAGCGCAATATTAGGATACTTTCTCTGTGTATGAAGTAAGGCAGGAAAGTAAAAATTATTAAAGATATTGTATGGTATTGATTACATTATATCCATGATAGTGAATTAAATGAAAATTATGTGAATTGTTAGACAATAAATTTTGAAAACTTGAGTTAGCTGAATTTTTGTTTATCAAGGTCCAAGATAAGTTTTTACTTTTTTATATGTAAAATATTGCTTCATTTTAATTCTAGCTTTTATAATGTTCTAATAGATTAACTATTTATTTTTTCAGAGTATGTCACAACCAGGTTTCAGTCTTTCACAGCCTGGTTTATCTCAAGCAGAACTCTCTCAAGATAGTTATATGGTTGGAGAATATCAGTCACAGATGGATGGTCTTTTGTCCCAAGACTCTACTTACCAAGGTGACCGTTCAGCATTTTATGCTGGTCCATCTCAAGGGGGACAGTTCTCACAGGTTAGTACTTCTTGAGTTCAGGAAATATAGTGAAATGCCAAAATTGATAATACATTAATAATTTATGTTGTGTTTTGCATTATTTTTCTCCACAAACAATACATATTTAACATTTGGAGAACTTCCAATAACTGTTGTAAAATAATAACTTGGCTCTTACCCTTATCATAATGAACAAGACAGAACAGGATCACCTCTACTAGATCATGGCGAATGAAATCACCACTGTGCCATGTCTGCACAAGCGTGATTAGAGTGGCATCTTGTTTATTCTCCAAATAAAACAGAGGGCAAATTGACTTTCAATTAAATGTGATGCAGTTATCCTCATTCAGGTTCAGTTCATCTTCAATTTCAAAAATAAGTTGTAATGAACCTTCTGATTGGATAACCATGCCCTAGCTGATTCACCTTCTATCTTAATTGGAGTATATAATCTCAAGCTTAAAGGTACAGTGATGGCTTTTGGTCTTCACGATTAACTTACATCATTGGGTCTGTCTTTTATACAAAAATATTTTTTTACTGAATAATTTTAACTTGACATTTTGATACTTTTCTGTGTGTCGAATTTTTGTGATGAGGCTCTGGTTTTTATGATAAATCATCCCTAAGCCTGGGCAACAGCAAGACATTTCCAATTGTATTTTGAACTGCACAAACAGAATGTCATTACTATTCACACTATGTGAACAGAATGCCTAAGGAGGCTAGATCCACTTGTTCTTTACTTACATCAGAGTTAACTTGTTATGATACTTCTATCAAAACGATAACTGGACAGGGAAGCAGTCTTATCCCAAACAATATAACAGCTAAGTGTTATTACGAAAAATACACACACACACACATACTTCAGGATCAATTGTGGTAATGTCCCCTCACCTTTTCCCATTCTCTCTATGACAAGAATTATCCTGCATTCGTTCATTTAAGGGATGAACAGGGTATTTTAAAATTGCCTGGGAAGTGCAATCTCTAGTTACCCCTTAAGTTCAATTCTTGTATATCAGATTTGAGGATATTATTTGCCCTTCCTGCATATGTCTGAAAGGAGTAGTTTTGAATGTTTTATTTTGTATTGTTTCAAATTTTAAATTTTCATTGCTTCTGTTTGGACTTTTAACAAGTGTAATTCTTGCTCATTGTGCCTTCCATTTTTTCTCCATTGTTACTACTTTTCCATTTCAAGATTGTCAAGATCTTTTCCATCTCTTCCTTCTATCTGCCCTTGCTTAATTTTTTTCTTACCACAATCACTGTTAATTTTTTTAGCCATATTGAGTATGTGGGCGGTGACTGGTTCGCGGAGCGTCGCGGGAGCGGCACGAAGTGACTCAACCCATGTATGGGGGCGCACCAAGATGGTAAACTAGTGGAACACCCATGTGGAGGGAAGAGGTAGATGCTGGGAAGAGGATTGGAAGACCTATCGGTGCAGGAAGAGAAGCAATCGCCACCCACCGGAACCGGAAACCGACCCCGGAAACTCGACAGAAGGCCTATCCAGATCTGGGGGAAACTGCTTGGTAAGTGCAGTTCCAGAATATGCCAGAGGGCAAGTTTTTGGTGTATGGAATGGTTTTTGCAGACCATCTTCATTGACAAGTCGAGGTGATTGGGTTAACATCATCTGAAAGAAGGCATGGAGAATGTTGTACAACTGTTCAGTCTAGAGTCCTGAAATCATGCCCTAAGGTTCTCGTGTCACATATGAATAGTTACATGTTTTTGTTTGGGGAAATAATCAAGAGTAAAAAAACATATTTGTTTTTAATTATGAAATGTGGGATGAAGTTTTTAAGTACTATACAACATTTATACCCAAATGCTGTGGGGGCATGGGACATTAGTTTTAATCATGAATTAGAAACTTAATTTTGTAGATGTTTACTGAACAACGGCAGTAATGTGAAATCAATATCAGTAAATCAGAACTATTCAAATTACATAATTTGCTTTCCTTTTAAAAAGTATTTTAAAACATTATTTTGCTTGCAAGTTGAAGCCAGTACCGTATCAGATTTTGATTTCATGATATCTCAATTGTGGTTATGTGATTAGGAGTTAACTTGCAAAATTGTGATTTTTGGTCTTACAGTTGGAAGTATTGAATATGCTCTTTAATTCAGTATTGGGACTGCAGATTATTTGTAGTCATTACCTTTATAATTTGTAGTATATCAGAGCTGAATATGTTTTTCATAAATTGTATATTTTAAACTTCTGGACTTTCACCTGTTTCAGAAGTACAAACACATTTTTCATTTTCAATCAAATATGACACGTAGGAAGTATATATAAGGCATTTCTCTCAGCTTCGTGAAGGCTGTTAATTTCCTTAGCAAATACTACAAATTATACTATTGAAAAATGATTGTGTATACATTTTAAATTGTGTGATGAATATTGCAAAATTTATTCGTACAAATAAATGAATACACTGTATTGTTTGCCACACCTGTCATATTTTTGTTTCTGTCTTATGAAAGTTGTCCCATTGTTTTGAAATGTGTGTTTTTCATTACAGTGAAAATACTGTTACATAGCCACGAATACAGTGATGAATACCAGAATTATAACAGGGGTTGCCCTCAGAAGTTTAAATCTCTCATTAGACCTGTGTATAAAGTGCACTTGTAAATAAATTCAGTTTCTGAAACTCCAGGGTTTATGTTTATTTCTTCAGTCTTTAAATCTTAGAGTTCTTTGAAAGGATTTTGATATACTCTGAGTGGTAACCTTTGTGCATGTCTGTTCGTCTGGGAAAATATTTGTATTTACTACCCAGAATATGCAAAAAATTGTTGCTGAAATAGTCAATACAACATGTCTTGGATGCAGGTATAAGGAACTATGCAAAATATTTTTTTTTATTGAATGAACTGGCAAATGTAAAAATTCTATTACGTGACTATAGTTCATTGTTGTTCTTGCAGTTAGATGTTTAAAATTGTCAGCTTTGTTCTGAAAATAATGTAGCATATATTGAGAATGAGTCTGGGCTTCATCCATTATTTTTATTATTATTATTATTATTATTATTATTATTATTATTATTATTATTATTATTATTATTATTAATCACCAGTATAAGTTGGCTGACTGATTCTCATTGAATGCATGTTTAACAATGTACAGTATATTTGGTTCATTAGACTTGTTCTACCCTGAACTGTAATATTTCTAATGCATAGTTCAAGCTCTAAATCCTATTTTTGTGTAAAATAATTCAAAGTTCTTATTCTATTGTTTCACCCTCTTACAATTGGGAATTTTTCATGGAACTGTGGTTTCATTTGCCAGTTTCTTATTGTTACTATTCACTTTCTTATAATTTCAGAATGTATGTACAAATGATGTACAAATATACATGTATGTAATTATGTATGTATACATATTGGAATAATTATTTTCACTTTTAAAATGTTATGGAGTTGTTGTCAGTCTAGACTGGAGAGTTGGTTTATTAAAACCTCTGCATGAGGTCTAAATGTATTTCCTGTTTGTGTAACTAAAAAAAATTATCCATATCCTATACCAAGTCCCCATTTGAGAACTCTTATAAAATTAATTCTATATCCCGATGTTTTTGTCACCTATTTGCACATAATGAAAAAGTCTTTTATGAATTTAGAATATAAGTTATTGAACTAAAAAAAAATATAGAACAAAACTTCTGTGCAGCATTTACCTCACAATAATTGTAGCTTTTTCGTTGTGAAAAATGCCTGCTTTTGTCATGCCAGCCAAATTGTCATTTTAGGTGGAATTACTTGTGAAAAACAAAAAGGTGTACTCAACAAAAGTTTACATATTTGTGTGATAAACATTGAAAAACAGATCAGTTTAGCAGAATAATTTTGATCTTTAGTGTGCATCCAGGAATGAGGGCTATGAGACAATTTACTTAAAACAATTACTACATTGATCACATATGAGTATTCATATTTTAAATACACATTTTTTATTTTAAGCTCACTAAAAAATAAAATGTGATTGGGTGTGCAATGTTTGAACAGAAATTGGCTTCTCACAAATTATTTTCTGTATACGCCTTATACCTGCAAAGTAACAGTACAACCATGGAAGAGCAATAATAATAATAATGTTGCTTGGTACAACTAAACAGTTGTACTGGGACGTTTCACAATAATACAATACAGATCAAAGTAGGAAATAATTTCTGGGCGTATAGGGTAAGTGGTGTCGTTACAATTGTCTACAAAAGCAAAATTTGCTGTTTATGTTGCTAAGCCGATTAGAAAATCTTTGATTAATTGACGTGCGCCAAAACATTGGTGGGAAATTTTAAGGATCAATTTCCCACATTACTTGGCCAGGCAAACGTGAACTCTTAAACGGCATATTTCAGTCGGTGAAATGTTGGTATACAGCTATCATAGTTTAATCTAACAGTTTATTGCGAATAACGATAAGCAAAAATGACAATAGGATAGGCAACTTCACTTGTGTACCTCCTGTCTTTTCCTATGCCGTCATAATCAATCAGAATGTTAGTATATTATACCAACACGAGATGTCTATGATTGGTTGTACAGTAGGTAAAAAATGTTTAATGGTATCTAGTCACATTTTGTCGTGGAGGTTTTGAGGAATGGTTTTGTTGGCAGCGACGTTGACAGTTTGTAAGAACGCGCTTTGTGACTCTTTTGTTTCGTCGCCAAGAGGACAACCATACACAACTGTGGCCATGGCCAAACATGGCGACAGCAGCAGGGCGTCAGTTCATTCGTGCTTGATACAACTGGTACGTTTTAACAATGGGCTATGTGTGACTGTATGAAGTTGACCACCAATTTGGTGGACGGAAAAGTTATTGTGCTTTTCATATCATCGGGAGTGCGTTTGTAGTGCGTTCGAAATTTTGTGTTATCTGGGAAATAGCATTGCCGTAAGCCGGGTTGTCAGACGGTCGTTGTCCTTAAGAAGTGAGCATGCTTTTACCGATCAGTATTCTGATATTCATTCCATATAAAAAAGTATGTATGAAATAGCTTTGGCAAATCGCTGAGGTCGAATTGGTGATATGTACATTCTCCGAAGATAATTTATCGTTCATGGTGACGTCGGCCGGGGACTTGTCATTGACAGCGCGTGACGGAATACATGTGGACAACTCTTCTTAGATTTAGGAAGTTTTATTGTGCTGTTGGAATGTCTCTAGTTAACTGCATTAATTACATAAATGATATAATTTTGCATTTCTTGTAAAGTTAAGTGCATGATGTCATTTAAGTACTAAGCACTTTCAGTATTTTAGTCATTCAACTTGCAAGTGCCGATTTATGCGATTACCGAACACCTGAAAATTAGCAAGTTAATATCCTAATCTATTGCTCAATGTAATACCAATGTAATGTAATGGGTAAATTTGAAGTATAATAAATAACCACGTCAAACCAATTTCTGAGCATATAACTATAATATTGTTTCTTAGTGGAATGTTCAGTTCTTGATGATCAGAAGAGGAAGGAATGAGAAATACACACTGCAGAATGAAACTGGAAAGTGCAATAATGCGTTGTATAGATAAGAGAAACACTTAAAAATTAATTTTTGAAGTTATTTATTTTGTAAGCAAATGTGTTCTTAAAATTTGTAATCTGATTTTACAAAAATATATCTGTTGTTCTCATTCACATCCTCATTTGCCCAAAATGATTTGATTCTTAAATATGTTTTTCTTCTCCAGGAAAATTATTAAATGCTTGAGTTCTACCTATTCCATATCAAGAAACGGGCCAGTGTCTTCTAATTTGTTTAAACAACTGTGATAAATACGGGTAGTGGACTTGTGACCAAATTACAATGAACTGAGGATATTTTGCATGAAAAAATGGAAGGAGTGAGTGGTGATTATACTTGATTATATGAGAATTTCATTTACAATGAAGTGTGTGTTGTCAGAGGAAACATTTCTTGTACAGTTGATTTTGGACTGGAAAAGAAACCTATCATTACAAGAGGTCTAGTAAGTGTTGTATCTATTATTTCTTTGGACAATATTTCTGAAAAATGTGTGTAACATTACAACATGGAAATCTATGACATTAGTTTTAGGAGCAAATGCTAACACACAACTCTTGTTCAGTGCTGTCTTTCTGGGGGAATATTTCCATAAATTTTTTATATTTGTATTTGTGATTAGCATCTACATTTGTGCTTTAACAAGCATTGTGTTCAGTCTCTAAAAAGAGAAGTTTGAGAGGGCAATGTATCATGCAATGTTTTCGCCCCATGTGCTGACGCAGTTAATGGGACAACCACATCATTTCAACTTCTCTGACATTAGCTTCAACAATCGCCAGAATCGCATTTTGTCCGGTCATTGTTACGGTCACAGTCCCTTCGATCAACAAAACTGCCCTTTTGACGTGCTCCAACTTATGGGTGTGGAGATGCCACCCACTCGCAGTAGAGGATACAACCATCCTCCGAGTGCCAGAGGAGGTAGTGCTGGATGGAGGGAAAGAGGTAATGTTCATGGACTTGGTTCAGCGTTAATGCCACCACCAGCACCTCTGGGTTATCGCCCTGGAAACAATTCATCTATCAAGAGAAGCTATTGGAATAATAAAAGCATGGCTAGGCAAGTAAACCTTTATGGGCCTTTTGTCAATTACATTTAGAAGGACAAGGAATTTTAATTATAATTTTATATATAAAAATTGCATGGAAAAATTTTCTTTCGGTTCACATGGTCTCTGAAGTTTCTTGTTGTGTTAGTATAAAAATATATACTTTCAATTGATTGTAGTGTGCTTGTTATTTGCCTAAAATGTATCAAAACAATAAATATTATAGTGAATTATTTAAACACACTGCCCCAAATTTGGTGCATTAAAAAATTGAATTATAGTATTATGTAGTTGTATTTCAAGGTTTAACCGGTAGTAGTTGCCACAGTAAATAAAAACATTTTTTACTGTAGGATTGGTAGAGCATCAGATACCTAGTTCACATGCCTCACATTATTAGATTGGCAATGTTAAAACAGTGTTACACATTTTTATTTTGTGTATATCCATTTGCTTCTTTTGAGTCTGTAGAATGTTAGAAGCAGAAAGAACTATTTCTTTTTATTAGTACTTTTTTTTTTTGCAAAGTAATATTTCTCATGTAATTTTTTTCAAATTTTTCTCAATTTTGTTAGTATAGGTCCTCACAATGCTCAGGATTTTTAAATGCTCTCTAACAGTGAAGATGATGCATGAATATAGAGTGCACTTGCTAAAATTAGAAATGTTTTCTTAATTCATAATGTATTTGATTTTGTTTCTTAGAGAATAGACAATATTAATAAGAAGGATTGGAAATGTTTCTTCTTTTCTCAAACTTACGTATGTAGTAAGATTTCTCAATGAAGTTTTTGGCATATTTATTAGTATTGAATCACAATATACTTAAGCAGTGTTAATACAATAATATAAGTTAGTATTGGTACAAGCAGAACTTCATTTTAACATAACGTCTATTGTGCCACTTTACTTTAACAATAAATGACTTATCAGTTTAAAGTTAAAAACTGTATTAGTACTAAAAATACCCTAGGTGATGAAGATATTTTAAAATAATAAAGAAAATCAAATTTGATGTGCTTCTACCACTGTCCTAGTAAATTTTTAAAAATATTTTATATTTTTCAAGTTTTTACTCTGCAATTGTCATTACAGTAATTGAAATTCTCTATTGTTTGTGCACAATTCTTGTTGAGAGTTTACATACACCAGAAAGACAGTTTGCTAAATAAGAGGTATTAATAGATTTATTTGTACCTTTTTCAAGATCTAAATTGGTGTTTATTTTTCCATGTTCTTTGCGCTGTGTTGCATCTGAAGTGTTGTCCATCATAAATTTTTTATTTCCTTTGTCAAAATGTGTTTCCATTGAAACATAAGTAATAAAAAACGCTGGACATTTTTTTTTTTTTCTTTTTGAGGTGAATGGCATGTTGCTTAGTATTTTTTCTATCTTCAATTTTTGCATATATTTTGTAGTCGGTATGTTTTTCATTGCAACCTAATTGTGTTAGGTTTGGATGATGTATCTTAGATGCTCTGTAAAGGTCACACATTATATTAATTTCTGTAAAAACAAATTTAAAATGAGTTCCTTTATTTAGTCGCAAAACACAACTTTGCTCACTCTTGCAATCAGCAGAACAGTTGACACTATTTTGATGAAATTTGATTTGTTAGAATAAGGAAATCGAATGTACAGTTTTTATTTTTTGCTGTGCTAATATTCTGGGCATGTGGACTAAGTATTTCTTGATTTGTTATATAACGTTTATTGTGTGTAGGACCCTGTAAAACATTATTTTTAAATGATACGGGAAATTCTCATTTTAAAAGATACATTACAATATTTCAATTGAATTATTTGTTAATAAAGTAAAGATAGATACATACCATTTTGGAACAGTTATCTGAAATTCTGGTATAATGTGGTCACCCCATTATGTTGTCTAAAAGCTTATGTCTTAAACTTTTTTCATTTACAAATCATTTTTGTATAGTCATCCTAAACGCTGGTAATTTGTTTGTTTCTTGTAGTTCTTTTAATTGCTTGGGAGAGCAACTAAATTTGTGTTGAATTTTTGGATTAAATTTTATGTTCCCTTTCAGTTTTGAACTTTATATCATTTTAAATAATAATCTGGAGCTTAATTCAGTTTCTGTGGAAACGAGTTAATTAGTTGTTAAGTCATTGTCAAAAATTTTCACTGAGTACATAGAAATTATTCCTTAATCTCTGCTTTTCCTGAATTGTACATCACCGTTAATGCTTGTGTGCTCCCTTAGACCACCTCGGTGTTTGATTCGAGACACCAATGCTACTGATACATCCTATAGTTCTGACTCGGGCTTCTCATCACGGTCTCCAACCCCAATCAAACATCAGATGGGAGACCAGGGCCCATCTGATGAATCTAATGAAGATGCAAATCATACCAGCCCAGCAACAGACAACAGCAAAGGAGTCAAGTAAGTTTGATTTGTGTTATGGTTATGGTTTATATATTTATATATTTGTACATAATCAGATGGTATTCTTGTTTGATTTCAGGCGTTTACATGAAGTTTACAGTTCTCAGTCTCAGTGCAGTAATGGAAGTAGTGGTGAAAAGAATTCACACCAATTTTATCAGTCTGCAAGCCATGTCCAACAGCAGTCTTCTCAAAATGTTCAGTTTTACAATAGGCAAGCAAATTCCAGCCGTTGTGATAGTCCTGCAACTCAATCTTCCCAACATCAAAGTGGCAGTAACTACCAAAGCAAAAGACGATATCATTCTGGGCGTCACTCTCCTCCACCTATGCATCGTCCCCAACGTGGGCGTCGGGTGAATGGAATGCTGCTGTCTTTTCCCAGTGGCCTTGGACCATTCTACACAATACCTGATCGCTTTTTGTCTAGAGCTCATCTTATTGAAGTGACAAAAACTCCTTCACAATTACTTTCAGGAGGAGAATGGGACAAGGTTTGTTGAAGTTTAATTTTTTAAATACTGTATAAGTAGAGTGTAGCTACATTTTTAAATCCTGCTGTAAATGATAACTTATATTCTTCTATTAGCAAATTCAAATATCAATATTAAAATGGAAGGCATAAAAAATATTGGTTTGTTTATTGACAATAATTGTTATATTGTGTTTATCGAAATTATATTTTTCTCTGAGATATGCCAACTTTGTAATGTGTGATAATTTCAGAATACAATAAAGTGAATTTTCTGCTCAACAGACTTTTCAGGTTTTGAAGTATATTAATACTCATCTTTGATACATCGCATATGAAGGTAGTTTTGTAGAACAAACTGTTTTTTTTTAGTTCCAGAAAAATATTCTCCAAAATGAAGAGCTGTCCAAATTTGCTAGCAATATGAATTTTGCTTAACTTTAGAACTTTTTGAACTCCATGTGTCAAGGGGTAACTGCTTTGAGAGAAATATCAAAGATATCAACAGTTGTTTTTCTTGTTCTAAAATTTAATGATGGAAGAAATGGTGTTCATTGTTTTCTTGTATTGGAATGTTTGTCAAAGTACAATTTTGTGTTCATTACATTAAAAGATTTTTTAAAATTTGTTCTTGAGTTACAAAATTTTTAAAAAATGTTAAATTATAATAATTAATGTGAATTACATTGATTTATTATTTGTCAAAATAACTTGTTATTTACAAATTTATGTGCATTGTGAAATTGTTTTTGTCAAATCAAAAGTTTTGGGAGATATTATAATATCACAGTTCAAGTTTTTTTGTTTCATAAGGTTTGAAGTGATAAGTACTAGGTATATTGAAAAAACGAAAAGAAAGAAAGAGGAAAAAAAAAATACTGGGAGTCCTGATTTATGCAGTTAATTTGAAGGTTGTGGGCATTTTGTGGTTTTATGGTACCTTTAGATCGTTCTAAAATTTGTTGAGTTTGAGACTTAATAAATCCATTTAAAATTGTAATCTGAGAAATCACGACTTTAGGACTTAAAATCATTATGAAACCTTAAGCTTCAATTTCTAATGGTTTTAATTAGCAGATATTTTAGTGCAATGTTGAAATGCAGATTTAAATAATTTTGTTGTTTCATATTCTTACATCTTCGTTTCAGTTGTCACAAGGAATATGGAATTACTTTATTACAAATCAACAGACAGAAGAAACATACAAAAAGAAAATGCTCCTTTGGAAATGTCTGTACATATTCATCAAGGTAAGCAAATTTTGCAAGCCGTGTTCTTAACATTCATAAATGTGCCCCAACATTTGATAAGTTACATATGAATTCCATAAATTGAAGTTGAGTACAACTTACGTGATATTGCTGAATCTATTGTAAATAATGTCATCATTGCAAAAAATGTTTTCAGCAATTTAAAGTATTTCAATTACCAAAATTGCTTTTTCTTTGACTCACATCTATAAAACTTCATTTAACATTTCCCTTAACATTATGCAAGCATTTATTCAGGATATATGCATAAACTGAAGTCTGATGGCTTTTCATTCAGCACCCCTACTCATTGTTTTGAAATTCTAGTTGAGACATGTTATTGTGCACATTGCAATATTGAATGGTTTCTTTTTATGTGTGAACCCTGATAGAACTATTAGAAAATCTTGTTTCAGACATCATTTCCTAGATATGGACTCTTTTTGGTGGGCTCCACTATGAGTGGTTTTGGGAGTGACAAGAGTGATGTGGATATGTGCCTTCTCGTGCGCCATGCTGAGATGGACCAACGGAATGAGGCAGTTAGTCATCTTGAGCAGATGCTCAAATATCTTAAACGTTGTGGTAAGGAAAATTTTAAGAAATTGGTAACTAAAATTTTAATTGGTTTAGTTTTATAATTTCAACATTTATTCCTCAGAATTTGTGGACCAGCCTGAGTTAATTCAAGCAAAAGTGCCTATTCTAAAATTCCGTGACGCACATCAAGGCCTTGAAGTAGATCTAAATTGCAATAATGCTGTGGGCATTCGTAATACTCATTTATTGTATTGTTACTCTCAGAGTAAGTAATTCAATGGCAAAATTACTATGTTTAGTCATAATTAATTGTTTTCTATAAGTATCACGTGACATTTTTATTTTTAGTGGATTGGAGAGTGAGGCCATTGGTATTAATTGTGAAACTTTGGGCTCGTAAACATAATATCAATGATGCTAAGAATATGACAATCTCAAGCTATTCTCTAGTTCTGATGGTTATCCACTTCTTGCAATGTAAGTATGAAATATTAGTTTTCACAGAAATATATTCCAGAAATTACTTTTCATTGTTAACCCTAGTAAAGTAAGAGTATGAAGTGTAACATCTTTTCCTAAAGGGGGCTCATTGACCACTCGTATAATTCATACAAAAGAAAAAATACATATTTTCTTATCAAAAGATAATATATTTACTGAATTGTTAGAAATACAAATTTCTTCTTGAAAATCCACATTTAATCTCAATCGTATACATTGTACCCTCCTTCACAAGGATCCAACAATTCTTTTTATTTCAATATTTTGTGCAAACATGTCTTCTGCATAATGCATCTTTTGCAGTTCTATTCAGGAGCATTATAAAGAAGTATGAATGTTGACATCCCTGCCAATACAAAAAAACATTTTCGTACATAGACAAAAGAGGAAAAATAATGTAATCACTAAAAGCACAATGGAAAAATTATGTATTCTACAAAGGGGGATTATCAAACACACACTACAAAAGCACCTAAAAAAAATACACAAATCTTATGCCAATATTGTGGAAAATGAGGAGTGAAAGAGCATCAACAATTACATTAATTCTCAATAAAGTGGAGTACATGAATTGAGAGTGAACTGAAAGCAATACGAAGGTGGTGAGCTCCTGGACACCCCCCCCCACACACACACACACAGTATTCCTAGAGTTAAGTGGTAGACGAATTGATGAAGGTCCAGGAGTACTTTACTGGGTGAAGGAGCACTGCTTTTCTACTTACTAGAAGTTCAGGAACATGAATTCAAAACTGGTGGTGTTGATGTTAATTACTTGATTAGCTGTGACTCTTCTTTTTTAATTCAAAATTACTTTGGAAGGCAGAACAGACCTTATTAAGTTTATATCTGAATTTGAATTGTGATAAAAGTATTTTTTTAACTTAATTGAACAAGTTTAACTACTATAAAATATGTACCTATTGCAGGCAAGAGTCAGTGATACATATTAGATGATTGTAGAATACGCCATATTAAGTAGTAATGAAATATAATGACCTATTGATTTAAGCCCAGAAAGAAAATTTTTTTTCTCGCTTTCTGTGTTCTTTACTACTTCACCTTCTCTGCGAAAAGCAGTCCAGTTGTTGTTAATGTTGCAAATGACAACAAGGAAGAGGCTCAAAATACCTTGCAATTATTGACACAGTTGTACCTCGTTTACAATGAAAAGTAAAGAAATAATGTTCAGTTATTAAAGAGGAATATGACTGTACATGATTGCATAAACCTGATATTTTCCATTTTCCTCTTCCAAACCATTTGATACTATAGACTAGTTACATTTAATCTTCCAAACAGTTGTCAGAATACTCTTCTGTTAAAGTTTCAAGCCTGACCATCTCATTTCATAAATTTAATAGTTACTTTTATTTACCTTATTGTATCCTCCAGCTTAATTTTCTTCATAGCCTCTCTAAAAATTAAGAGTGTAAGTATTTTTCTTGAAATCTTCTGAATCATCTAAGTTGCTTGCAAAGAGAACTGATTCTTGTTAGCCAGTTTAAGTCTTCCTTTATCTCTATCCCAGAGTTTAGTTGTTAGGTAGTTTATCATTTTTACAACTCAATATTATAGTCTCATGTTGCACTTGAGATGATCATAATCTTCCATTTTCATACTAAGCATTATTGCAATTAAAATTGATTTCCTTTAACACTACATAAAAGTGCCATTCATTAGGTGCTCCATGTACGAATCCTGTGTGCTTTGCTTTACTACTTCACTTTCTCTGTGATGCCCATTCCACTTTTTGTAAGCGTTGCAAACAGTAATGAGGAAGAGGCTCACAATACTGCGACTAGATTGTCACATGTCCTTGGGTGTGGGATCAGAAAGGTTACAAATAACTACGCACAAAGTACAAACACAATCTAAGCTGGATTCCATCCAGCTAACCTGAGGGTTGCAAGCAGAGTTACTGGCCATGTACCTTAACCACCAATAACCCTCTGCATATCAAGAAGAGATTTCTTTCTGGTAATGCTGGACTACAATTTCTTCTAATTAAATAATTTTGCTCGTTGTTCAAATTTAATTTCTTTACAAGGTGTATTTTATAAAAGAAAATGCATTTTGTTGTATTTCTACCTTGTTATTGCAGGTCACATTGTTTTCATTATGAAATATACTGGTTGTAGCTGCAATATACACATTAACACTTTGGAAGAGAAAAATAACAACTGAAAACAGTTTGAGTTCAAGCTTCACTTTGGAGAGGAAGTACCAGTGCATTCAATGTATATTAATTCTTTGGGAAGAATTAAATTAGATGCCAAAATCATAGAAGTGAAAAACAAAAGTCCTAAGAAGTATTCATAAAACCTCCATTTGTAGATGTAGTTTTTCTATAGAGATTTTTTAGTGGTTGTATTATTTTTTCCCTTTCATCTATACAGGAAAATGTATTTGCATAGGCCACGTCAACATTCATTCTTTTTCGTAAATGCTTGTGCACAGAACTGGCAGTAACAGTGGGACTATTTTTCAGTTGTTTTTTCATTGAAAGGGTCAGAAAAGTTGGCTGAATGGTTAATAGAAGGATGCTTGTGAAGGAGTGTATAATGTATCAGCTTGAGATTAAAAGTGGATTCCTCAAAGGAATTTGTATTTCTAAGTGTTTAGTAAATAATCTCTTGATAAAAACATAAACACTTTTTTATATGAATTGTATGAGTGGGCTCAATGAGCCCCACTTAGGAATAAACGTTTCTATTTATACTCTCATATTGCTAAGATGGTTTTACAGTATAATATTAGTTGTTGACAATTATTATTTACAAATTACATTAACTGTGATCATTGAACTCTACTTAGTAATTGTTGCAATTCATATGAGGTGGTTTGTAAAACAAATATCTAAGCAACATAGTTTTTTGTTTTGAAAGCTTTTCCTACATCTTCAAAACATTTTCAACTAATCATTTTGATATTTCTTTTAAAATGAATTGATTGAGAATAATGTTATTGTATGAAAACATATTACCCCTCGGGCATGTTCATCTATTTGTCTATTAGCCAATTCTAATGAACTCTTTGATTATTTTATTGTTTTTATTTAATCAATTTACTTGAGCATAAATAAATGTTCTTTCCTTAAGGTGGAGTGTCACCTCCAGTGTTGCCTTGTTTGCATGGATTGTACCAAGAAAAGTTCACTCCTCATTCGGATATTCTTATGATAGATATCCATGAAGACATGCGTCCATTCAATTCTGAAAATACTCAGTCTCTTGGTGAACTTTTGCTTCAGTTTCTTCAGTATTACGTAGAATTTGAGTGAGTATTAGCTAATAAGTTTGTGTGTTGATTTATAATGAAGTTGATTCAGTAAAACCCCCGTTTTACATTCCCACAACTTATATTTTCCTGGTATTTACAATATTTCTTGTTGGTCCCATCGGTTGTCATATATGTATTCTCATATATCTTAAAATACACTGCTTTTATGTTAGTGTAATTTCAATTTTCTTGCGATATACAACAGTCTGCTTACAACACTGTCTGGCAAGGACTGCCGTTGCGCACTATGTGCACTGTTGACTACCACTTTCCTTTTTTAAATACGGCACTTTCCTGCTTTAAATCCGGCTGTAACAAAAAATTATTGAAATCGGTGGAATATTAAAGAGTTTATGGAATTTACCATGAACACTAGAAGAAAACTAGGAAAATCAATTATTTCAGTAGTTAAGCATATACACATTTTTATTTCATGACGTTGCAGCGATATTTAAAAAGGAAGAAATAATGACAAATGTTCTTTTGCTGAAGGAATATGAGAAAGGTAGCCCTCAATCATCTATTTCATGTCATCATCCTTCACAATTTCACACTTCCCATTCAAAAATAAATGTAATATTTTCTCATAATTTAACAGCTCAAAGTATGGGATTCTCCATACATTTTTGACTAAAGTTGAACCACTGTATTATTTCTGGAATCGAAAAAATTATAAAATATATGAACTACCAAAAACAAACCTTTTATTGAGTTGGGTTTCATTCATACCACATAGTTTCATTCAAGCCATTTTTCAAAGTCAATAAATTAAAGAGATTGTCATCTTTTTCAGTTTTAGTCAGTATGCAATCTCAGTTCGTCTTGCTGCAAGGGTACCCATAGATGAATGCCGTAGAGCTCGTTCATATAAAAATGATCCTCATCAGTGGAAATATCTTTGTATTGAAGGTAAGAAAACTTTACAGAAGCATTATGGAAAAATTGAATATTTTAAATGCAAGGAACTTTGACTAACTTCTATTCTCTCATTCAAAATGCAGAACCATTTGATCTTACAAATACTGCTCGGTCTGTGTATGATCGAGATGTTTTTGAAAAAGTGAAAGCAGTATTCCTTGCTTCATTCAACAACTTGAAGAAAACTAGAGATGTTTCAAGTATATTCAATATTGAGAAACAGGACCTTGTTACTACAGCTTCTGGTGAATGAAGTCTCCCTCGGAATAGATGAGGATTGAAAGTTGGAGAGGTTCTTTTGTGTGTACAAATTTCATATTTTTAGTGATTGCTCTATTCTTGCCTTGCTGAAGGTTGTGAACAGATTTTGGCCCATTCCAAGAATAATAGTAAAAATGCATGTTCAGATAGGGTAAAAATATAATGGTGAACACAACATTTGTTTGGAAACTTCTTAAGAATATTATTAGAAGAAAGGGCACAGGGGAAAATGGTTGTATGGGGTGGGAAAGCAAATACAGCAGAGTGAAGTGCCAGAGTTACTACTAGTCCTAAAGTCTATATGTAAACCGCTGTGATGAAGTTTGGAGCTTTAAGATATTTATTATGTTCCATTTCCTACATGCATTGCTTACTTTATTAAGTAAAATAATAATTGTATATCAATTTTATCTTTAAGTATCAAAATTCTTTGTAATATACTTTCCCTTGTTGAATTTTTCCTTTTTAACAAGAGTAATTGATAGTTCTCAATGACATTGTGTTTCATGGATGGTAATAAATTATTGAAAAGTGTAAAAAAAAATTAAATAAAATACAAAGGATTGTCAGAAAATGTTTGTTGAAGTAAAAGATCATTAAATATAAATAGTGTATGATTTGTAAGATTTTACAGAATCATAAAATAGCTTGTTCTGAAAACAAGCAGGTGATTAATTCATGTATGTAATCAGTGAATATCAGCATGCATGTATTGTATGTGTGATCATGTAACAACGTTGTATAATTTATATCCTTTATAAATAATTGTGTATAATAAGTGAAGACCATTGTTATGGACACGATAAATAGCTGTTGAACACAAAAATGGAAAAAAATACATTTGGAGTCAATTAGTATTTTTTTTAATTATGCTGTGGATGATGATATCTTTTAACATAATTTAAAATTTTAAAAAAATAAATAAAATGTATGAAAATTAATCCAAAAAAAGCAAAAAAAAAAAGCTGTGTGGTATTTGTGCCTAAAATTGTAGAGACTTATTATTGTATGCAACAATTTTCTTCATCTGTTGCTTGAATCAATGCAATATGACAGTGCTGTTCTTGTACTGTTCTTTTACAATGCACTTGGTCATTCTCCCCAAGTTTTGTGATACATGCATAAGTGAATGATCTAGTATTACTTGCCTACCATTGCAGGACTATTAGCAATAAATACAATGAAGCTGTTGTTCTGAACGAATGACATTTCTTTTCATTCTCAGCTTTGTTGGCAATGACTTTTGGATAGTATATATCTCTTATTATTAAGTTCGTGTGATAATGTGCTGTAAAACTTGTACATAACATTGATCAAAACATAATATTTGCATGTACAGCGTGTAAAGTGTTATGTTTAACAAATATGGTATTGTTTCTCTATTTATAGAACAAGTAACATAAGCAGTTTTTCATGAAGGTGCTCTGTTTATTTTTCTATGTACAAAGCATTTCAATAGTGACAATGAAGACTTTTGATGTGTGTACTTGCCTGTTGTGTGACAGTCTTTAATTTTGTTTGAAATGACTTGTAAAATGATCTCTGATGGTCAGACTGCTCTGCTGGGATAGATGTGTTCATACGAAAAGTAACTATTTACAATCAGTCATAAGCATCATCTGTAATACATTCTGAATTTAGAATAAGTACTTTGAAAAACCGGGTTGTTCAGGTTGATGAAAGACATTATTTTGAACACTTGGTGTTGATATTTATAATTTGTATTCAAATTTTCCAAACCATCTCAAAATTTTGAGTAGAATACAAAAATTCATCTTCTAATCATAGGTGTGGTGTATTAAATGAATTGTGAAATAGATATTGTACGTTAAAAGAATGGGGAAGATAAAACTATTGTAACAGTGCACAGCAACGTATGTTGATAATTAGAATTGTTAGAAAATGTATGTTTGGTGCCAAACTTTTATTTTCTTGTAACATAGACCAACGAGCATTGCATATGTACTGTTGAAAAGAGGTCTTTTAAAGGCTTCTTTAAAATACATTGTAAGACAATACACAATTTGCATGGCAATGAATTGCAGTAATGATGAATAAAGGAAACCATTGAGCATGAGCAGATAATTGAATGCATTTCTAAAATAAAAATTCATTTTTTCAATTGTTAATCACAAAATGTTTCATTAATAAGAATGAATTATCTCATCATTGCTTATACAAAGAAGGGAATTGGCCGGTTGTACTTCATAGTTGTATATATGTAAGTGAATTGTTGAACTGAGTGTAGTTGATATTTGTAATTTTATTTGTCATTTTCATCGTTATTATAGTTTATAGATTTTATTTATTATTCAAAGAATGGAAGAAAATGAAAATAAGCGTTTCTGATCAATATTCTCAAAAAAAACCACTTAAAATTCATATAAAAAGAAATTTGTTTTTTGTCAGTATGAGCAGAGTTTGAAAATATGAATTTTAGTACCTGATAATTCCGTAATGAATCAATAGCTTTATTATTTATTACTTTATCAGTTAACATGCATGTTGAAGATAAAGTAAATGAACATTATATTGGATATGTATTATTTACTTGTGTAAACTGGTCAGTGTGTATCGTGATTTGAAAGAATTGAAAAAACATATTCCAAACATTGACTCTTTAGAGATTTATTTCAGTATTGGTTTGACTGCCTGGATTGGTTACCTACCTTTGAACCCTGATTTCATAAAACTGGTACCTGTAGAAATGCATAATGTTAATAAAAAGCAATAAATGCAGCTGTCGAGGATGATTCTTATTCAAATCTTTACCTAACCCTTTCTGTAGGTTTTCTCACCTTTATGAAGGTACTTCATAAAAGAAAAGTTACGTAATCGTGTGTGCCGGAAACTGGCACATTTTGTGCACAAAAAATTGTCGAGCCTTAGTAACAAACTAGTGGTGCTACAGAATGGCACAGACATTCTCCTATGAGGGTTATTTTTGTTTTGTTTTTATTTTCTTTGGTCTGGGCTGGTTATTTGAACTTCCCACATACTCTCACCAGCTGCCATCTATTATTGACCAAATTGCATTTTTTAAAAAGTTTTCTCAATTTTTTGGTTTCCTAATAGAATAACTTAAAAATATTACTTGAATATTATTAAAGAAAAGTAAAACCTCGCCCTAAATGGCATTTTTCATAGAAAATAACATTCCTCATTCATACATATTTAATCTACATTTTATTCATGTGAGTACACTCTTTTGAGAATTCAATTGATTCTAATGGTCATTAACTAAATAATACTTAATTATTTACAAGTCATGGTCTTGTTGCAAAATCGTTCGGCAAAATTGTGTCACCTCCATGGTTACTGGAGCCCGAAATGGCGCTGTCTCCGACTGCTGGAAATATCTGCTTCCTACTAGGAGCATCACTTTACGGAATCAGCTACCTTCAAAGCAAATTTCCACGTGAAAATCCCAGATTCGACTTCATTCAAAAATGCAGTAATTTATACAAATCGCTGAAAATATGCATATTACTAAAGTAAGAGATATTAAAAAAATATGTATTTGAGTAATTTTTTATAAAGAATAATTTTAACCAAACCAACCCAAATAATGTAAAGTCATCTTAGGCTGTGCAATTAGCATTTTCTGTAAGAAAAGCTTGAAGAAAAAAATGGTGCAATTTTTGAAAAAATATTACAAGAACAGTGATGTAATAAAAAGTTTTCAACTATTTTTTTAATGTTTGTTTCCAATTTTTATTTCTTGAATTACCTGAGCCAATGGTAGGGCAGACAAATTATTCGATTGCTTAACAAGACCAACAGTGTTTTTTCTCCAACATTGTATAAAGCTTTATATTTAACTTTACAGAAATCATAGTCATTGACTCTTACTGCTCATTATCCTTCTCATCACAATATATTATTTTTGTTTTTTTCTGTTATTCCCCCATTTTATTTTTGCTTAATCTACTTAATCAATCTTAATCTACTTAATCAATTTTTAATTTTTTAATAGTTTTGATTGAAATTTTACAACTATGTTTACAATTGCAATATTATTTTCTGCGGTGCGATTGTTTAATTCATAGAAACTATTTGCTGGTGTAGGGGTTTCAGTGTAATTTTATATCATGTTATGATATTGATTTAGATGCAGATTATTGTGTAAATAACATAACAAACTAAAGCTGATAAAATGAAATTACTGTAACATATAATTCTGAGGGCTGTATTATTGAGACCTTCAATAATAAAATTATAACATTGTTGGAGATGAAATCTTCAAAAGAGATTTGCAAGTGGCATAGTCTTTTGTAATCATTTGTCTTAATATTACACTCTAAATGAAAAGAGGTTTACATGTGTTTAAAATAAGACATGAGATCATTTCAACTGTTCAATGCATTACTACTCTTCAGGAAATGCAAACAATTAGATAAAATATAGTGCTGAAGAGAAAAGAGGCTTCTATTAAAATACTAAAACTACCAAAGGCAGAATATATCATTCCTTTTACAATTTCAATAAAATGTAATTATTAAATTTGCCCATGGGCGGATTTAGATACTGTAGGCTTTCAAGCACAAAAATATACTGGACACTCCTCCAGAAAAATCTTTAAAACTAAAAAACTAATTATGTATAAATCTAAAAAACACTAATTATGATAGAATAAATCATTGTTACAATACAAATGTAAATTAATAAATTGCTTACAAAGTAGACATTGCTTTTTAAAGTTCTCATTTACAAATATGTTTGGTTGTTGTTCCATTCAATTTATTTTTTAGATGAAACATTGTTGTTCGGTAAACCATTTGATTAATGATTATTCAGATAAAAACATTTTATGTAGTCTTCAATATTTATTTTAAAAGATGTGGGCACGGAGATGGGAGTCCCAAGCCTAATTTTGCTAATGGGAAAATCCAGCTCTGATTTAACATATACCTTCAATGGTTGATATTAACACCAGCAAAACATTATTTTATCACTGCAACACATTTGAAGCCTCTAACAAGTCTATTTCTCCCTGAATTGAATGCCCTATCAAAAGCTCTACTGATTGATGTGCTGATCCATGCTAAAGATTGCTGTTTTCAGTCCTGTGAAAGCAACTGTTGTACAAAATACTATGACAATCCACTGTGTATTTCCATAATAAAAAAGAGAATATATATAATTTTCGAATAATTGAATAAATAATCATTGTTCAGGAGCAAAAACTGACATACGGCACAATACAAAATAATACTGAACTGAATGTTTAAAAAATTCTATAAATACTCAACTTCACCCATTTTCTCGTAGGGAGTAGTACCAAAGTGCGTCATTGGGAATATTAATTGAATTAAAATGTTCATTTAGATCGCTTTAACCATTATATCCATCAAATTCCAACTTTTCTGAATATCTGGTTACCATCAAATGCAATGTTCTTCAGGAGTGAGGGTATTTTAATTGCTCCCAGAGGATCTAGAGGAATGTACGAACTCTCGCAAGGGCTTGTCCCTCGATTTGAATGAAGCGCTTTCACGCGCGGTGTTGCCGAGATGCGCGTCACAGCCCCGTGGTCCCGACCTCTAGACAGCGCGCGAACATCTTCCTTTGGACTGATTTAGGCTTATAATTTTGCAAAATTCTCCTATTTGAAACCGTAGATTATCTTCAAATTGCGCATATTGATTCTTCGAGATGCTGGCTACCACAAGAATAGTTTTTAAAAGCATGTTCAACAGTTAATTTTAAAAATTTCAGATCAGATCTGTCAGGTCACAATAAGAGCCAATGTTAAACAGCAAATTTTACGGTCTGGTTACGCGAAAACTAGACGATAAAATCGATTCAAACTCTACCAGAACATAGAAGAACTTCTAATCTTTTGATTGATACAATAAAAAAGGCTTGTTAAACGTAACACTTATCTCGCTCTAATCACCTTAAGGCCCATTCACAATGCAAACGTAAACATAAGCATAGCGCACAGACATGAACAGTAACATAAGTCATAGACTGAAGTATTCACAATGTCTAACATAAACGTAAGCAAAATAAGAGTTTCTATTCGTTCTGAGACATTCTGATTTACTATTGGTTGGATGTGAGAATCGACTGTGTCCATGGCCCATTTGGCGTTAGGTTTTCTGTTGAATACACTCCAATTTCTATTCTCAATTTTCAGTTAACGTACTGTGATTCGTTGATTTCTTATGTCATACATAAGAATAAGCACAGAAGCTTGAAACCTGCAAGCATTGAGAATGAGGCTGCTTATGGACGTAGTCCTAACTTTTATGTAAACGCCATGAAAACGAACGCGGATATCAACACATTGATTGATTGGTTGGTTCATCAGAAATACCGTATGGAATTTGTGAATGTATAAAGTAAAGATAATTCAAGTTATTAATGAAGCCGAAGACAAAAAATGTAAATCTGTAGAATAAATGTTCACTTTTTAATATCAAACAAAAGGCTGATAATTTGTAGAAGTTGACATCAGATTGTTGACAACAGGATAATACCACAGAACTTCCAGGAATTGCGGCTCTGTAGAGTCGCTCGGTCGTACAGTAAAATAGAGTAAAAAAGGCAGGTAGAGTTATTGTATGGTCGAAGCCAGTTTTGTCAAGACAATATAATGTTTGAAATGACCGAAATACTTAAACATTTATAAGAGAAAAGTGGAATGCGTAGATAACACGAGAGAACCTAAAAAATTAAATTAGTACAGATCGTAAGACCATCTGACATGAAAGAGTGTTAAGAAAGAGGTGAAGAAAGAGCAAGAGCAGCAGGACACGCCCGCGAATGATCCGCCGCGGCTCGTCGATTCCTTACGGATTCTCCTCCCGAGATGTGATAGATAGCGTCTCGGCACACCACACACACGGAAACGCATAATCGGTATAGAGCGCAGCTGGGGGCCGTAGAAGTCCTCAGCCAGAGCGATTCTCGAGGCCTAGCTAACTAGTCGCACAAATGCTTCCACCGGAATCAGGACTGGAGACAATAGGACGCATCGCCGATCAGTAGGCACTGCAGTGCCATATAGTTGATAGTGCCCTGAGCGACGTTATAACGGTTAGACTGGATACACACATCGCACGCACTTGCACAAACCAACAGCCATGTTTTGGAACGATTGCAATTCAAGTGGGCAAGATGAGAGTGATTATTTCGGGAGGGGAAGCAGTTGAACTGTTATTAGTCCCGTAAGTGTTTTATCGTGCGGGAATTTTCCTCCCGCTGGATGGTGAGATCGGGCTCCTACGTACAGACAGATAGTACTGGGTTCCATACTAATCGAAATAATCTCCACGACGGGGAACTAGCAATCAGTACAGGATACAACCAAAACTGTAAGTGTCCGCGAATTGGAACTCCACACGTAATGAAGGGCGCATGTAAGTGAAAAGTAGGGTGTGGATGTAAAATTAGTAAAGGACAATGTAACTGGGGTAGCACAAGAACGGTCAACTCAGTTACTACCTCGTCACAAGCGTGTTTCGATTTATGACCCTAAAGAGAGGGATATCGTCTCCTGCGAATTCCTCTCTCTCTGTATCATGTCCAAGAAATCTCTCGCTTCCGCACTCAGCATCAAGCCTGAGAACAGTAGAGAGAGGAGCAGGTTTGCAATAGTAGAGATATAGTAACTGGTTACGCGTATACTATCCGACAGGGGAGAGCTTCTAATTGTGATGTAACAATACATACAAATGTGTAACCAAACGATATAGTAGCGGACTCGTTCACACTCTCTCGCGGCTCGCTATGTTATAATGTGTA